GGAGCAGGGACATCTGCAGCTAGAGCAGGGTGCTCAGAGCTCCATCCAACCTCCCCTGGGATGGTGCCAGGGATGGGGCAGTGACCACCTCTCTGGGCAGCCTGGGCCTGGGGCTCACCACCCTCAGCAGCACAAATTTCATCCTTTTCCCTAGCCTGAATCTCCCTCTTTTAGTTTCAAACCATCCCCCCTTGTCCTGTCCCAACGGGCCCTGCTCAAAGGTCCATCCCCAGCTTTCTGACAGTAATTAAGACTGGGTTCATTCACAGGTACTCCTCTAATTCCACCTTTCCTGTAGTCTCAGTGCCTGACAAAACACAAGCAACTTCTTACCAAGAGCTGATTTAGCACATTGGTTGAAGAGACTTCTGAGAAAGGCATTGACTGAAATGATAAAAACCCCTTTTTCTCAGTGCAGTCCCTTCACTGCAGGGGTTAAAAACAAACAAACAACGTGTTGTCCACTCTGTTCTTCCCTTCACAGTGCAACTATGGAAAGTTTCCACCATTCCAAGGACTCGTGTTTCACTGGGAGCTTTGTAATGTGATGGGATTTCCTTGATGTTTTGTTGAAGTGATCCCAAAGCACAAGAAAATGGTCAGGTTCAGAAAGAAAAAGGCCATTATTTGCTTTATGCACTGGAATACAAGTGTGCTCAGGTGTGATAAGGTGGAAATAAGGGTTTTTTTTGCTCTTCTCAGTCACAACTTCCAGTTTCTAGCACAATATTTTATAAATTTATAAAGGCCCAGTACTAAAAGTAAGGAAATGTTCTCCAAAAGAAAAACAGAGAACTGCATTCTCTGTTTCCTCTGAAGCAAATTAATGACTCATTTGCACAGACCAACAGATCCAACCACTTTGTTCCACCTTGATCTTCAATTAGGACCTCATCCAAAATCCTGCTAATAGAGAGTTTACCAAGGATTTAATGGGAACTGGATCCGGGCCCTGGAATCCCCCAACACTGGGACACAGGGCTGGTGCTGAAGCTCAATTTGCTGAGCTGTCTCCAAGCACTTCATCAGAGCAAATTTAAGAGTGTCATTTCAGCTCTTTCAGGGCTCTTGTCCTCTTGATTTTACTCTGGCAGCAGTGAAACACCAGCTTTTGTGAAAGAACCTGGGAAATCCAGCCCTCTAGACAGCTCCTAACACCATTTCAGCTGCCTGCTCAGAAAACCAAATATTTACAGGCAAAAAAACCTGTTGCTGAGTTATTTTTTTCAGCTGGGTGAGTTCCCCCAAGCAACCCACAGTGCAGTGTTTGTGTTTGCTCACAGCAACTGGGACAGGCAACTGTGAGCTGCTGCTGCAGAGGAAACTTCTGCACTTCAGGGGCAGTTTTGGGTATTAAAGGGCACATGTGTATTTATCAAAGACTATCCTCTGCTCAATGAGGTGTGATCTTGAGCATGTTAAACAACTGCTCCATTTAAGTGGCAGTTTGGGTCTGCAGGTTCTTAAAGGAAGCCCTTGAAAAAGGACAAACGTTTCAAATTCTATTTTTGTGGCAGAAAGAGGAAGAGAAGAGCAGGTGGAACCCATCTACATCTCTCTAGAGTCCTCAGACCCCAACAGGAAGGAGATCACCATGACATACTCTCCTCCTGAAGCCGAGCCATAACCTGGACATCAGTCAGGTCCTGCAGCTTGTACCCCATGGAGATGGAGTCATCAGATGTGCTCAGCTCGCTGTCCACCGACGACTGAGAGCTCAGGGCAGAGTGCATGCTCAGGTAACCTGCAGAGGGAGGAACACAGGCACCCATCAGCCAGCCACACGAAAAAACCCTCAAGAACCAGCAGCAGAGCACCTAGCCCAGTAATAAAATCAGTGCAGTTGAGGTAAGGTGGCTAGAAATGATGAAGAAGTTAGGAATGACTCGAGGACACACTGCTCACTATCTTCACCTTTCAGGATTGTCTTTGCAGAGTGTCTTTGTGCAGGGAAAGAAAAAACTGTCACAGAAACCAAACTGGAAGGATGGTTCCAGCAGGGCAGGGAGGGGATCCTGCCCCCCTGCAGTGCTGGGGCAGCTCTGGAGTCCTCAGCACAGCAGAGCCAGGGAGCTGCTGTAGGATCCCCAGCAATGCCCCGAGGGGGGAACCCCTCTGCTGGGAGCCCAGCAGGAGAGAGTTGGGCTGGGGCAGCTTTTTGTACTAACTTTTACCTGCCAATGCTTTTTTGCAAGTCAAGCTAGTCCACATTTTCCATGGTGTAAGAGAACTGCTGCTTGCTACTGAAACAGGGGGAGGAGAACCAGCCATGTAACCTTGGAGTTACAGCAGTTCTGGCCCTTCAGACGTGGGAGGCTTCTCAGCAGCCCTGTGCACAGAAATGTGTTATCAGAACCTCTTCAGTCCTCCTCAGACCCTGCAGGAAGGTCGAGCAGCAGCTGGCAGTTGGCTTGTTCCCATCTGTGGGTGGCCAGCAGATGTGGCCCCTCGTAGGGGCAGCTCCCTACCAGTCGTTTTGGTCCTGAGAGCCAGCACAGAGTGCTGAGCACACCTCCATCTGCTCTTCCCCTTGTAACCACCACCCTGCTTGGTTTTAAAGAGCAAACCAAGACAAAGCCCCACACCACATCACTTGAAAACTTTCTGCAAGCACCAAAGGATTAGTGGATGTGAAATCTCTGCTGGGCAACGGGCTTACCTAGGAGACAAAATACTCTCCTGGCAGAACTCACCCTCACACACACACAGAAGACCATAACTTACAGAGCTATTTTAGGAGTCCATTGTTACCTTAAATTAATTCCAAGACAAGGCTGCAACCAGTACTATACAGTTTAGATCCAGCAAAAAAGAAAGTTAACCAGATAAAGGCAGTAGATGTGCAGGGGCTGGTGAGTGCAGAGCATTGCCTCCACCTTGAGAACTCCAGATCCTGCTCAGGCAGGAGCCAGGCTCAGCACAGCACTGCAAGGCAGCACGAGTGGGCTGCAGCCTCCCACAGCACCCACACGAGGTCCTTCACCAGTGGCCTCTCCTCAGCTCCCACAGCTCTGCACCTCCTGTGCTCTGAGCACTCCTGGAGGCACCGACCCTACTGAGTAACTCTGAGCCCAGGAATAAACCTCTTGTCTGTTCCTGGCAGAACATCTAAACCCCACCACTGAGCAACCCTCTCAAAGGAGGGTTCAGGCCAGGCAGGCAGGAGAAAGCAGCAGGTTCCCCACATTGTTTCCTCAGCCAGTTTTGACAAGGAGTAACTGGTGATGTGGAAAAATGAAGTTTGAAGTCCAGGTGTAAAAGAAATTACTTCTGTGGACACTGAGCAAACTGCCCTGTACCAGTCAGCCTCAAACCCCTCCTCTGAACAGGGACAAGGTCTTTCCACTTTCAGGATGCTGCCATCCTAAAGCCAGCAATGGAAGTGTGAGTGCAGCACTCAGGGGGTGTCTGTGGGGGTGTGTGTTACACAAAGACACACTCCAAGGCAAGGCACTCCAGGAATCACCTCTGTAACAGCATCCCATTTCTTTCCTTCTGGTGTCAGGAATAACTGTGGGCAGCTGACCAAGCCAGCCTGAGAGGAGGGACTGCACCTGTGTGTGGAACAAGCAAAGGTCTCCTGCTCCACCCCCTTCTTTGGCACTCAAAGCTGTGTTTCTGATGCAGCTGTCCCTGGAGTACAGCCTCTTAAAAAGCACCCTTCCCAGCTCAGCTCTGTGTGTGTGGAGTTTGGTGGTTGTGTTTTGGATTGCAAGCCTTGAAAAACAGTCAAGGAGGGGAAGAAAAACACTCACATTCTGCCATCAGGAAAACCTGGGGGGGCTCAACACTGCCAGGGGAACCTGTCAGGGTTTGTGTTACAGAGGCTTCCAAATATGCCACCTCTGGGGTTTGTAAAAGGGGTTTTGGTTCAGTTTTTAGGGGGAATTACAGTTAAATGTTTCTCATTTCAATGGAAGGGAAGCTCTGTTTTCCTTGGGAACAAAATTAGACCTGAGTCAATCCTGTTGCCAGTGAAGGCACCCTTCTGTTTGCAAACCAGAGGTGGGTGTTAATTCCTGTGCAGGGCAGATCTCACCAGCATACCTGCAGCTCTGGAAACATCCCTATGCAACCCTTTCCTTTTTGCTTCAAAAAAAGTTCATTTAACATCCAGTTTCAAGCCAGAGATTGTTAAACATGCTTCACCTCTTTAAACATGCAAATTAGGCTACAGCAATTTCCCCAAACCCAGACAAAGGAGGGAAGACTCCTGGGATAACCAGGCCAAGGGGCAGCAGAGCCAACGTGGGAGCCTCCAGCAGCAGCCTGGGTGCAGGGGCAGACTTGAGGCCAAGCCATTTAGGAGAAGCTTCATTATCCTACCCACAAATGGGGATTTCTAAGGAGAATTTTGTCCCAAGTTGCCTCTGAGGTAGGAAGGCTTCCTCCAAATGCAGTTAGGTCTGATGGAAAGCCCTTGTGATTTTGTATCTGGCTGCCCCCTTGGCCAATTTAAAGGAGATTATGGCTTTTACCTTAAAGCTTGAGGCTTCTTTCTCTTGAAAATTATTATTTCCAAAAGCAACTTCAAAAACTCTCAAGCCAGAAAACTGAATCCACGTGGCTTTAAAAAGTTAACACCTATGCATGGTAACATCACTCCAGGGGAGCATTTCCTTTGCCCCAGTGGCTCTTCTCTATTTTAAGTCACTTAAATAGAGTACAATCTATAAAAAAATTATAAAACCCAAACCATGAAACAACTACAAGGCATTTAGAAAGCCAGGAGATGAAACCTGGGTGGGTAAATGAGCAAATGAAAAGGAGGAAACCCCGCGTGGCCTCTGAGCTGCTGAGAGAACTCTTCCCTGTTGCCCCTCAGCAGTCTGCTCCTCGAGTTGGAAAGCCCACAGAATTTGTGCTGCTCTGTGGACGTGATTATAAAACCCAAACCATGAAACAACTACAAGGCATTTAGAAAGCCAGGAGATGAAACCTGGGTGGGTAAATGAGCAAATGAAAAGGAGGAAACCCCGCGTGGCCTCTGAGCTGCTGAGAGAACTCTTCCCTGTTGCCCCTCAGCAGTCTGCTCCTCGAGTTGGAAAGCCCACAGAATTTGTGCTGCTCTGTGGACGTGCCATACCTGAGCTGCCACAGGTTAGTAGTGCTTTGTTAGTCGATTTGAGGTGCCCAGGAGAGTTTAGTGCATTGCTACAGGAGCCTGGCTCTGTATTCAAATTATGTGCGCTGGGTGATGCCAAGGGACTGCAATACAGGTTTTTCCATCTACTGGCTAGAAGGAAATAAAAAAATACAAAAAAAAAAAAGCCATCAAGGTTATCAAATTGTTTTTAAGAAGCAAAGAGCATAAGATAAACAGGTAACATGTAACAGGTAGTTCAAAGCAGACACCTGGCTGGCTGGAGGAAGCGGAGCGGCGGCGGCGCCGGTTCCCTCGCTCCCATTGAACTTGTTGGGTCACTTCTGAAGAATTCCAAGGATAACTGCTGCCAAACTCAGCTTCAGAGAAGCCACGTGTTTCTCAAAGTTCTCAGGCTGGCCTCCAGAGCTGAGTGTTTTCATAAATACCTGTCACTTCTACACTTCCTCTATGTTTTAAAGAGCTCCACTGAACTTTCCGTTGACACACGGGTTATCTTGAATTTTTAATGATGGACTCAAACCAGCATTAAACCATTTCCATCAACAGGAGAGCAAATTAATATGAAAAACAGCCATTCTGAAATATTTATTCAGCACACAGACGTGCAAACGAGTTAGGGAAATAACCAAAAACAAGCCAGGTGGCCAAACTAAGTGAATCCCCTGACAACAGTAAGGAAATGACTCAGTGTGATCTGCCTAGATTCAGGGTGCTGCACTGGTGAGAGAACAGGAGCTGAGAAAACACTGAAGATTCACTGTCTGAACAGTTTTCTTTTATATTCCCCTCCCCCCAAGAGAAGTTTGGGCTATTTTAGTCAAAAAGGAGTGAGAGAGGACAACTAAAGCCTGACAGAAAGCAAAGAGTTAATCCAACGATTCTTCCTTTGAATTTTTAAGTGCAGATGGTTTAGACAAGCAGATAAAGTTTGTTCTCAAACTCCACTCAGTTATCTCAGATGAGGAGTTTCAGGGCTAAACTCCACGGGAGCTGCATCACAAGCAGTGCCAAAACATTGTTAGTATCTAAACTTTAAAAAAGAAAACCCCACAGCAGCAAAGCAAAACAGTGACCTCTCAGAATTCAAATGAAACAGAGATGATGCCTTCACCCAGAAGACAAAAGCAGCCACTTTACACCCAGGGCAGCCAACAGCTCTGGTGCCAACAGCTTTCCCAGCAGTGAACACCACCACTGAACCTCCAAAGAGGAGTTTTCTCCCAAGAGTCACTTTTCCAGACCCTGCTGCCCACAGCTTTTGGGTTTGGAGGGTCATTAGTCAAACCAGAGGGATGAGGCTGCAAGGAGCTCTGCTCTGCAAAGCTTTTCAGCAAAGAAAAGGATCAAATTTATGGGTAAATAAATTTCCCCTGGAGCAGGGAGGCTGGAGGCCACAGGAAATGGGGTATAGAAAAGGAGCATTTCTTCCCTTTAAGCCCCTCAGTGCCCAGTTCACATCAAAACCCTTTGAGGAGTCAGAGGTGGGGTATCCACCAGGTGATGGACCACGGACAGGCAGAGGTGGAAGAACCTTCTCTGTTTTGTGATTCTAGCAGCTCTGGCCCTTAGCTGAGAGGCTAAGATGGGATGGATCCTGCTGGGCTCTGGCAAACACACACCTCTGAGCCCAGACCCCAGTGGTGGTGCCAGGCAGCTGCTGAGCTGAGCACTCTGCAGTGCTGGGCTCCAGATCAGGCCAGGGGTTTCCCCTCAGTCACACCCTCTGAAGTGCTTCTAGGGGATGAGAAAACTGGAAGAAAAACCAGGTTTCCAAGTGACACCCCTTCTCTGAGTGACAGGTTTTCATGTTTCATTAGTGTAAGCTTTAAGTGTCAGACAGCTGCTTTGCTCAGGAAATATGAGTAAGATACTCTAAGAATAATCACCATTAAAAACACCCAACAGCCTTAAAAGTTTTCATGCAGAAAAAAGCTGCACTGATAAGTTTCACATGATTCCCTCCCCCCCTCCCAGCAGCTCATTTCTTCCTCTACATCTTTTTTACATTCAAGATGTTTAAATATTAAAAAAAATAATCAAGAGGCTGAAAACATTAAATAATCTAAACAAATATTTCAGTGTTTAGGCTCTGATGAAGCAGAAAGCAAAGGAGTTTGGCCACTCATTTGGAAGGCTTGGGTTTGTACCCTAAAAAACACACAGAGGCAAAGCAGCCCAGCTCTGTTTGTTTGGTCTAAGACATCCAGTTTTCTTACCCCTTACAGGATGACCTCTTACCTTCATCAGCTGAGGCAACCCAGGGGAAACCCAAACACAGGGAGGATTTGAAACAGGGCTGGAGAAACCCACACCCAGAGCACAACAGCTGAGGTGTTATCTCTGCAGATCTCCCCCCACCCCCATAAACTCCACGGCTCCTTGACTGCTTCTCAGCCAGGGAGGTAAAAATGGGAATAAAAAGGAAGGTTTTGAGTTGACTGTACCTTGATCCAGCCTGTTGATGAGAGTCCTGCAGGCTGCCTCTGTCTCAGGACTGGGGTTATCCAGCACCTGCCGGCACCACTTCAACGGGGAGGCGGTTTTGGGGTCTGTGGATCTCCTGGGGGACACGTAGAGCCTTGGTGGGGGTTAGAGGAGACAGCAACAAACCCTGTTAACTCAAAGGCAGCACTTCTGAAGGGCACCCAAGAGCAAGCAGGAGGAAAGTTAGCCAGACTAAGAGCAGAGAAAAGAATTAAAAATCCCATTTAAATTGAATCATAGAATCCTTTAGGTTGGAAGGGGCCTCCAAGGTCATCCAGTCCAACCCTTGAGCCATTAGGGCTCTAAAGTCCTCTGCTAAAACAGATCAGAATCTGTCAGGGCTGGAAGGGACCCCAAGGATCCCCCAGTTCCAACCCCTCTGCCATGAGCAGGGACACCTCCCACTAGATCAGGCTGCCCAGAGCCTCCTCCAGCCTGGCCTGAAAGACCCCCAGGGATGGGGCCTCAACCCCCTCCCTGGGCAACCCATCCCAGGGTCTCACCACTCTCCTGGGGAAGAACTTCTTCCTCACAGCCAGCCTGAATCTGCCCACTGCCAGCTTTGCCCCATTCCCTGTGACCCAGACACAAAGTTTACTGTTGCACCAGTAGCATTCACTTGAGGATGGCTACACTGGGAACGTGGGCACCTGATGGAAGTGAAGCTGTTGGTACAGCCCCCATCACTCATCACCCCTCCTGCCCCCTCCATGCCCCCCCAAAACCACCTCATGCCAAAGACAGCCTGGCCAGGAGCTGCCTCAAAGTTGTGATTCAGGGGGATCCACTTGCAGATGTCTTTTTTGTTCCCCCTCCTCCAGCTCTGGAGCTCCCCCCCCTATTGCTCTGCTGCAGAGAGCTGTCTCCTGGCTTCTGACAGCAGCTCTCCAGCCACCCAACGAGCAGCAGGAGGCTACTCACAGATTTCAGGGATAAACCCCTCTGTTGGAAGCCCCTGAATGTCCCCAACAGCTGGGAGCATGCCACAGTCCCTTTGACACACAGAGGATTCACCTCAAGTACAGAAAGTTCAAGGGGTACAAGAGCCAGGCTGAAAAGCAGCTCAAGTGTTTTACTTATCTCACATTTGTGTTTTTGAAGTCAAAAAGTCCCCAACAACAACAACAACCTCTCCCTGTTTAAATCCTTTTTTCTATCTAGCAACACAGCTTTTGTGATGAAAAAAAAAAAATCAGTGTTGTGTAGATCTAAAAGTTTAAGTTTTGAATCCTTGCATGTCACTGAGAAGAACAGAGACTGAGACAAGATCTTAATCCATCAAAACAATGAAAGAGGTGAGAAGAGAAACAAAACCAACAGACTGCCCTACCCTACCTCAGCTTTAGAGACCAACCAAGGAAGCTTCAGCTGCTTGTGTTAAATTCACTGTGCCATGAACTCATTGCTAGAAACAGAGACTGAATCTTCTCCTGAAGTCATCCAAAGGATCTCAGGAGGACTGGCAGGTAGCAGAGTAAGCTCTGAGATGACCAACTTGAGGACCTCAAGTCTTTGTAGGGCTCTATAACCAGCAGAGCTCTGCTGGACCCTCCCAGCTTGGCAATTTGGGGCTCTCAGATGGAGCATCTCTGGGTGCAACAGCTCCCAGAGAATTTTTCAGTGAATCCACCCAACCCCTTTTTTGAATTCCTTCCTGCTTTTAGCACCCTCAGCACCTGAGTCCCAGGTGGGGTGATGTGCTGGGTGAGGGACCATCTCCACCCTCTAGCTGTGGAGCCATCACCTGCTGTGTGCTCTGGGTCCTGCCTGGTTATGGGGGTGGGAATTCTTCCCTGCTGCCTCTCCTCGTGCCACTCATGGCTTTGCAGATCCTCACAGTCCTGCTCCTGCCCAGACCCATCTCCTTGAGGGGTTAGAGATCCAGCCCCTCTAGCCACCTCTCATACAAAAGCTTTTTCATACCAAGCCCTACACAAAACCACCTGCAAATAAAGACAATCCAAAAGCTAATTTAGTGTTGACAAAATAAAGGCTGAGGAACACAAACATCTCTCTGCATGTGCAAGGTTCTCTTGTGTGAAAGCCCCAGGAGCATCTCTCTGCTTTTCTGCACAGGCAACTGAGCATTGCAACCACTCAGATCCAATCAAACAGAGAAAACCAAGTCCTAGCTCACTCCCTGCATTTATTTTACAGTTCAGACCAGCAATAAAACCACCAGACAAGAAAGAGGCCAACAGCCTCCTCAGGGCAGGTCACCCCATTCTGCAAGTATTTAGGGCTCAGGGAGAAAAATCCTGCTCTGCTTGAGGGAGCTGAGGTCCTGCACAGCTCCTTCCAGGCTGCTGCTCGTGGCTGGGGCAGGATGGGGTCAGCTGGGAAGGGTGACACACGTTGGGCTGTGGGAGCTGCTTGCACGTGGAGCAGTGTTCCCTGCTCCCAGCAGGTCCCCATCCCCCTGCTCTGCCCCAGGAATCCCATTTTCCTGAAAAAAAACTTGAGATGGTCTCAGGTATATTTTCATATATATATGATAGGAGATGATCTCAGTTATATTTTCAGACATATAAGATAAGAGAAGGTCTCAGTTATGTTTTTATCAGACTCCATTAGATAAGCACACCTCCATTTTCCCCAGCACTCACTGGCAACTATAAAAATGAGGATTTCTGGTTGGATTTTGCAGGGGCAGCTTCACTCTTTTCCTTCCTCAGTAGCTTTGGGGAAGGGCTCAAGAGGCTTCACCACCTCACTTCTCAGAACACACCAGCCTGCCTTATTTTTTGGGAGCACAGCACGCCACCAGCAGACAAACCACAACACAAGAAGCAGGGAGCCTTTCTCCAGACACAACACCAAGAACCCAAAGTCACCTCCCAGCAGAGGCTCTCCCCAGGCCAGCCACCAAAACCAGGGTGACACTGGAGCCCGTTTCTGGCTGACCTACACGAGGCTTCCCTCTGACAGAGGGTTCTGCAACAAGCTAAACTCCCTCTGCCCCACTTCAAACCCTGCAAAACCTTCCAAAAACTTTGTTTCTGGTGGTTTCAGCCTCTCAGGGTGTTTGATTTGCCAGGCTGAGTGCCTGCACTGAGCACTGGAGCAGTCACACTGGGGCATGCCATGAGGTCCAACTGCAGATCACAGCTGAGGAGTTGCTGAGAGAGTTACCAGGCCTCATACAAAATTCAGAAAGCAAACATTTGGGCATACAGTCTCAATTTCATCTACCACATGCCTTATTAAACATGCATGAGGTTTTCTTCAGCTTCTGGGAGGAAATCCTGAGATCAAAAAACTTGGAGAAAAAGCACCTTTGGTTCCTGTTTACTCGTGTGTGTTTCACCTTCCCATACAAAGGATTTTGTTAAATGCAGCTCTGAGAAGAGCTGAGGAGCTTTAGATCTGCAGCAAGCACAACATGAGAGCCTTACTCCATCAGGCACTCAAAAATAAATTTGTGGGATTTATTCTGACATAGCCCCATGTGCTAAAAGCAGAACATCTTGTAGAGATGCTCTCTCTCTTCTGGGGACAGTGTGACAGGAGTATTTCTGGGAGCTGATGGCTGGTGGTGGTTACTTTTGAAAATACTGCTTTAAATAAACCTCAAGAATCTAGAAAAATACTCTGACAACTTTCTCAGCTTGCAAAAAACACCACTTGTTCCACAGAGAGTGTATTTTACACCTCCCTCCAGAAGGAATTCAGTTGGTTAAAAGAAACCTGCAGGAAAGGTTCTGTCCCATGGATTGGCTTGATTGTTGTGGTGTGGTCTGGGGGGTTAATTAAAAAAAGCAGAAGATAAAAGCTTCTCTGACACCCTGTGTTAAACCATTGGCAGTTTTGACACTGGGATCAAGATCTGAAGCACCAGCAACACTTGAAGGTGTCTCCCCTCCTTCCTTCCTTCCTTCCATGGAGGAGAAAACCTGAAGTTGTTCAACGTGGGGCATGAACAGAGTGTAATCCACCAGAGGAGATGGAACTAAAACAGCCTAATCCAGTCAAAAGGAGAAAGAGCACTGAAAAAGTTTAAGCCTTTTCACTTCTGCTGTTTCTTTCTCTTAATCAGACCAATTTATAGCTCAGAGGGGGTTGGAATCTGAATTGTTTCTTTGTAATTCCAAGTTAAAATTCTCCCCCTGGCTGGAGCAGTGGCACAGGGATGTGGGTGAATTCCTGGCACAGGGATGTTGGTACATTGTTTGGACATTGCCTCCACTGAGTTGGAACCCAGTAAACCAAATGATTTCAAAGTGGTGCAGAAGCTGAGACTGCTGCTCCTCCTGAGAGCTCCTCTGCCCTGCTCCTTCAGCCTCCACCTTCACCCTCCTCAGCCAACAGGTTTTGGTGGTGCCACTGCAGCTCAAGAAGCAAAAATCCATGTGGTAGATTTTACTGGAGGTCCCAAACCTGCTATGAAGTCACAGGGTGTAAGCACAACATCAGGAGAGAAATTACCCTAAAGTTGGGACCTGTGCTTAAAACCAGAATGGCATGAAGTTGTAAGACTCAAAGCCTCTCTTTTTGAAACCTCCTCACCCTGTTTTAAACCCTTCTACACTTTAAAAGAACACAAAGTGAGTGCTTGGTAACTTTTAAGGTACAAAGCATCATCCCCTCTGCTGGATGAGTGAGGAAAAGGGCAGCAAACCCAAAGTGCCAGGCTGTTAAAGTTCATCAAGTCACCAGCAACTGAGAATGTCTCAGAAACCACCAAAAACCCCAAGCACCAGTGTGGACATGATGTGTTCCAGTGTTAGCTACAGGGTTTTTCCTGATCTATAATATTAATCAAAGGGCTGGAGCTGCAAACACAGTGAGTTCTTCACTCTGAATAATACATTGTTTGGACATTGCCTCCACCTGGGCAGTGCAAACTCCCCCCAGTCAGCAAAGCCACCCTGTTAAAGCTGATCCCAAATCCACACAGCATGAAGAGGAGGTTCCTTGGAGTGCTGGGGTTGGGTTTTTGTTTGTTTTTAAACAATCTCAGGTCCTGTTTTCTGCCCCTGCTGAGAGGAAGGCAGGAATGTCTGCACAGAGTCCGTGTGTGTGCTGTACACTCATCACCCACCCCACAGCTCCAGTGTAGCTGGAGAGCTCTAGAACCAGAAGCCAGCACAAAAACACCTCCTTGTTTTACCAGGTTTGATGTGAGGAAGAGAAAACAGATGAAGCAATGCAACACAAAGATAACTCAAGATAAAACTGGACTTGCACAACAACTCCCCAACGCTGCTGTTATTAAAGCTCCTTGGGGCACCTCTCCTGGAGCTGGCAGCCTCCAGGAACCAAATTTGACAAGGCAACAGAGCTATCCAACCCACCAAGATCCTACAGGGTGTAGTGAGTGCCTGCTAAAGAACCACCTCATCAGCCACCAGCTCCAGGAGAGGCCAAGGAATGGAGCCTCTGGGTGCACTCTCTCCTGACTGTGCTGCACACTCCTCAGAACACTGTTTAGGTGTCAGTGATCCAATGCTTGGCTCTTAAAATAGAGAGGGTTTTGTGAGGAAAATCATATTTTTAATATAACCCTGAATTTAGACCTGGGCTAATGAATTTCTAGAGTTTCAGGTCAGTTTGATGTGCAGCAGCCACTCTGCAGTGCTGCCTTTGTGGCCACACTCATCTCTAAGCCACACAATCCTGGAACACCACCAGCAGATCCCTGAGGCTGTTTTTTTAAAGACAGAAAAGTCTCAAAATTAACAATTCCAGGTGAAATCTCAAGGCAGAGCTTTGCAGGAGCTGGAATGAGCCTCCAGCTTTAGCTTTGGGAGGGCGAGGGGAATGAATCTGTATAAAACCAGGCCTAAAGAAGGCTGCTGGTGAAGTGGTGTCTCCTCCAGAGGTCACTCCAGGATGACATCATTGATCTCTTTCAGTTCACTCTCCACACAAAAGAAACAAGTGAACTGCAAAGAGAGAGAGAGTTCAGGGAGGGGAAATGATTTCTCTTCCTACATACCAGCCAAAGCCACAAATTCCACATGGTCTAAGGGCTCAGATTGTGTTTTACAGAATTCTTACTTAAAACAGTATTTGCTAGTGAAAGACAAAGTTTAAAAACTCTGTTATTTGTTCCACAAACTAACAGGGCAAAGCAATTTTCTGTGCCTGCTACAGCAGCAGGAAGATCTGGGGAAAGACAAGTGAACCTGATATATGTGTGTGTGTGTGTTTTAAACAACACTCTGGCACAGTGTTCCTAAAACTAAAACCAGCTGGTCACAACAACTGTGTTCTTGCTGCTAAAAACCAAACCACTGTGTGGAAACCACTTTAAGACCCTCAAAAAATTCTGTCACCCCTAAAAAGAGAACCCCCCCAGGGCAGCAGCAGCAGCCCAGGTCCCCTCAGTGAGTGGAGCTGTGAGGTACCTACCAGCTGTCTTCCTCTTCGTGGCAACTGTTGAATTCTAACACCTTCACCTCCTCCAGATCCGCCTCGCCCGCCAGGCTTTCCACACCTCCACCCTTTCCACCAGGGTTTTGTTCATTTATCTTCCCCGTGGGATCGATGCCTGAGAGAACCAAGCTTCCCAGGAGCTCCGTGCCACTCCTTGTGCCCCTCCTTGTGCCCGCGGGTGAGGAGCATCTGCTGCCCTCCCCCTCCTCCCCTCCAGCCGTGTCGGAGGACAGCTCCTCGGAGGCGCCTCGCTGCTGCCTTTGGGCATCCAGGTCTTTTTGGAAGCAGTCGTTCTCCCCCTCCTCCTCCTCCTCCTCCTCCTCCGCCGCCGTTTGGCTCAGCTGGGGGTGCAGCTCTGCCAGGATGTGCCACTCGCCGTTGGGGAGCCCCAGCCCCGAGCCACGGCCACCCCCGGCAGGGCAGAGCTGGCCCTGCCCCCGCGGCCCCCTGCCGCTCTTCATCATCCCCGGGGGTTGAGTCTCCAGCTCCAGCCTCCTCACCAGCTCCCGCAGCTTCCGCACCTCCTCCAGCTCCTGGCCAACCCCTCCGGGGGGCGGCTCCGCGGCGGGGCCCATGGCAGAGTTCTCCGAGGGGTCTCGTCCCAGCCCGGGCTCCAGAGCAGGGTCCTGCTGGATGAGGGGGGCGCTGCCAGGCACCACCATCGCCCCGAGCCCTGCAAGGCACGGGAAACACGTTAAAAACTCCAGAAAACCCTGCAGTGTTCTCAGCAAACTGGAATTCAACGTCAAAAAGTCTGTTTTTTATCAGATTCTCTCATCCTAAGGGGGCACGAGGTGGTTGAGCTTCGTTAAAATCGACTGGGAAAGACCTGAAGTGAGCATGAAGTGTTTCAGCACCCACAGAGGGCTCTGCCAGGAGTTACTTACTCAAGGAAACCCATTTTTATCAGGCACAATAGTTCAGTTTCCATCTGTTTACAAACAAAATCCATGAGAAAAGCCCCAACTGAGCACAGTCAGGAAGCATAATGAGCAAGGTGCTGACGTCAGACAAAGACAGTGTTAAGAAAATGGTAAAAACATCCTTTGTTCATTACAAGGACCTGAAAAAAAACCCTCCAAAACATCTCTGAAGCAGCTTAAACCAGAGCCTAGCGACAACAACCCACGGCAGGAACTGTGGTGCAGGAAAATAAGCAGAACTAATGTCTTCACTGGCATGTTTTCCTGCTACAGTTGAGAGGGGGGAGCTCCGTGGTGCAAACACAGCAAGAAACAGAGGAAAAAAAAAGAAATAGAGAAATCTATCATGCCCTAGATAACATCATCCAATAAATTTCATCAAATGAAGCCACCTCTCTGCTTTTCCTTGCCTCAAGTGTTTCTATTTGCCCCAGGATGGTGTTGGCCAAGGGCAGATGGGCAGAGCTTTAAGCTGCACAGGTATTGGGGGCTTCCCCAAAGCCCTAAAATGATGCTGGTGTCTTTAAGGAGCCACTTTACATCACTTCCAGAACAATAAGCAAACCCCCCTCCCCGTGCTGGTGATTTACAGGAGTTGCTGGTTTCCACTTCCCAGTCATTTCTGAACTGACTCTTCACCAAAAAGCCCCTAATAGGAGATTTAGGTGCCACAGAGCAAGTAAAAAAGGATCTCTCTTAAAAAAACAGTGAATCCTTTTTGCTTTGCAGAAGGAGGGCAAGCAGACAGACAGACAGAAGGAGCTGGAGGATGTGGCCAAGACTGGATGCAGGCACTAGAACTGCACCTGAACCCCGAGGGTTTTGTGCCTGGGGATGTTCTTCCCCCTCCCCTTCGCTGTTGGGTCATTTCTCATTTTTAAGGCTTCGCTGCTGGCAGGTAGAGAAAAACCAGGAAAAATCCACATGGCTCAAAGTTACAAATACACAGACACCTCCCCCTGAGCATCTCCCGGTGGCTTAGGCACTTGGAACAGCAGCAGCCGAGCACATTTCCTAGAAAAATAGGAGTTTTGGAGGGGGTTTGAAGTTTGTTTTTTTCAGTTTGGTCCTCTGGACACAAGATGAAAGTTTCAGGCTTCCGTTTGAGGTCATAACGGACAGGAAGAGTGCTTAGGAAGAGCTCTAAGTGCCTGCAGCTCACTTGAAACCTTCCTTCCAAAATCACAGCGAGGAGAAGCACTGCTGGAGTGGCTTTGACTCGGGGAATAGGAATTGGATCTGTGGCTACCCAGCAATCCGAATTCCTACTCACACACCAGCTCCAAAAACCTCCTCAGAGATTCCATGGAATCTCTGGAGGAGGAGAGGAAATCCTCACGGCTTCCAGAGACATTTCAAAGCCCAGGAGCTGGCTGAGGATGCACCAGCAGGGAGTTTGAGTCCTGCTGTGAAACACCACGACCCAAGGTGGGGGGGAAAGGAAGCGATGAGATCCGTCACCCGAAAAATCACCTCCCCTGAGGGGCAGCAAACCCGCGTCTCCATTCACAGGGAGGGGAACAACGCGATTAAAACCGTTTAACCTCTCCCTGTGACCGGTAAATCTTCAAAAAACCACTCCGATAAAGCAGAGAGGAGACAGGAGGCAAAAATCCCAATCCGCAAAACTTCATTCCATTGTAGGGGATAAAAAAAAGAGAAAAAAAATTTAAAAAAAACCCAGCAAGCAGCCAGCCGCAGGAAGCCCCATTTGGAGCCATTGCTGCCTCGGAGACAATAATTTGGACTTTTTCAAACAGACATCCGGGTTTTTAGCGGCAGGTTAAGGGGCTCCGCTCGCCGCCGCGGCGGGGACGGGGGCGAAGGGAGG